TGGGATAAAGTGGGCTCAAAGCTTGGAGGCCAAATCATCCTGGGGGGGGGTCAGCATTTGAGATTATATAAAGACTCTCATTCCTGCTATTCAAGGACACATATTGCAATGAGTTAAACCTCCTCACTTAGCAATTCTCAAAGACTGCTTAGTTACCCCTGGACCTTAGAATTTGGCAGAACAAGAGAATGAGGCAGAGAAGTACTGAAACTTTAAAAAAAAACATGACATGTATCTGTACAGTATTCTAATGTTTTGCTTCAAGTGCCAAAAGTGTAAACTTTAGCTTCTTACCTTCTGCATTTGGACTGCTCATTGCCTAAAATAAGCGCTGCCCCAGGACACCCTGATGCCCAAGTCCCAGTCTCTTAAAGAAGCTTCTAGGATGGATCCAATCAGCAGAATGCCTAAAACAGTTTAGCAATCAACTTTCAAACAATTTAATATGGATGGAAGTCATCTGGACTCTACCACACATAACTTTCACTGAAATGCTGCAGCACTATTGAAGAGCAAACCTGAGATGTAAGAAATTCACATATATTCATGAAATCCACCCAAATTAAACTGCCATGATGAGTTGGGGAAGGGGGTAAGTCAGGGTTTAAAGGAAACAATGAATCCTTCCTTCTCATCCCACTGAAGGGACCTCCATACTAAGGAGCTAAAAGCATCTCTCTAGCCTCGCTGTACTCGACTTCTCAGAAACATATGACCCACCTGAAGCCTTCTGCTATGTGGACTCTTTCTAACCATGCTGTCTTGACGTATTTGCTCCTGATTCACCTTGCTCCTTCAAGCCCATGCCACCCAGTTTTGCTAAGCTTTCTTCTCTACCTTTCCTTTTCCAATTCAGCATCTTCCTATAGCCTACCAGTGCCCACATGCCCACGACCATGAGATTATCAAAGTCAGCATGATCAGGCTGCTGTCAGTTCTTCATCTGACCTTATTATTGGTGAACTGCCCTACCATCTGTCCATCTCTCTGAGCCCAAAGCTTGAGAGCATATATGACCACTATCTCCTTTACAGTATCAAAACCGGTCAATGACAAGTTACCTAATTCTTCTCTCTTGTCATGTTATCCTAAGCCACATTAGCATCATCCCTTACCCTTAGTACCTTCTGACATCCTTACCCATCTAGTACAGCAGCTACAGCAGTCTTTCAGAATTAGAATTGATCTTGCATCACCTCTGTACTAATTCCTGAAGTGGCCTTGCTTCAGGGCTTACAATGCCCAGCATTAATTAAACCCTGTCTAAATTTCGATCTCAACCACTAACAGGCCCCTAAATTTCTATACTCCAGCCTTCAATGACAGTTTTTAGTTATCTTGATATGGGATCTTGCTGTGTTGCCAACTTTATCTCATATACCTAGGCTCAAGTCATTCTGCTCAGTCTCCAGAATACCTGGATTTAAAAGGGGGTACCGCTCTGCCTGGCTTCTTGGACTTTCTCTGAAGAGCTGTTCTTTATGACTTGAAGATCAAAAAGTTGGCATCTTGTTTTATTTTGAGAAGAACTGAAAACTAAAGATTTCCATGTTTCAACAAAGCCCCACCGCTCAGCCTTTCAGGTTGTTCCAAGGTTACCTGGAATCAAGATTAAGATGGATGGTCAGCCCACAGGCAGCCAGAGGGTAGCAGTCTGGTTTGCGTGGGTTTCAAACACCACCATTCCCTACTTTCCTCCAGTGGGATTCTTTAAATACTTTTGTCATTTATGTGGTCCTTTTATTTATGGGTAACTATATTTTCTCCCTGGGCTAGATATAACAATCTGTGTTGTCCGGAAACAAGCCATCCAGACTTGCAGGGCAGACCATCTGCAGAACATAAAACTACTCTCCCTTGATCCCATAGATCTACTACTCAGTAAGGAAGGGTCTTCATGCACCTCCAGTAACTCAAAGCCTCAACAAATACATTCTGAGCACTGCTCTTGATGGGGAACCAGGGAAGCAATTAGAAGCAGCTTGTGACTTTGTGATGCTTACACTCTACCTAAGACTTGAAGGCAGATGGTGAATTGAATAAAAACATGATAGAGGAAAGAAACCATAGAAAAGCCCATTCAGCCACACTAGGTAGGGGAGATTGGAGAGCCATGGGGAGTGGGGAAAGACTTCCAGTGGGTGCTTTGGGGGAATGATGCTCATTGCTTCTTTGAGAAATTTGCACCCCATATCAGGAGCAGAAGTAGACAAGCTTCTCATGAGTCCCAGGTCTATTTTTACCACTTGGACACCGTGAGTCATGTTACTGATTGTGTCTCTCTTCAGCATTGCTGCTGCTGAGCTCACAGCCAGCTCTGGACATCAAAATATATATTTGGGGGTATTGAATTTGCCCTGGTTTAATCTCATTTTTTTCTCTAATCCTTTTTCTCTGCCTTGTTAGCCTTACCTATATACTTAGTCAGCTGATTAGCCAATCTTGTCATATTGCCTTGGGTAACACAAGCAGCCCAGGCCCAGCTTTATTTATACCCACCATCAAGTCTTCATCTGGCAACAGAATCTAGCCTGTCTCTACAGCACCTGGGGGCTGTTCAACCCTGAGTTCAAGCACCCAGAATCAAAGGCTCTGAATGCAGGAAAACAAGTAAAATAGGTTCAATGCTAGGCTATCTTAAATAATCAATGAATATAATTTTGTCCAAGTTCACCCACATCCACTGAAGATCTTACTTTGTCTCATTTTAAAGTAGAATAAATACCAGTGCAAACACAAAACTCTCCCAAATGGGTTTTCTAGAAACTGATCAGAGGCATGCATCTGACAGTACTGTTATGCTGTGGCATTCCCGTGTTACTAGAGAAACTTCTGCATTTTACTCCCTTTAATGGAGAGGACAACACTAGGGCCTGCAATACCTTCCTAACCAGAAGCAGAGCCACCAAGTGCCATGGAGGAGATGCATTTGATTTGGAAAAGTAAAGTAGTATGTTCCTAATGGAAGATTTGGATGGAACATCCACAGGAAGTCATTTATTCTTGAGTCACTTCAAAATAGCTGTCAAGGACAAATGAACAATTGCTTTGAATCCATATTCTTTCCAGCAGGGAGGGTCTGCAGGGGGAAGGTTCACTGTGAAGTTTCTGAAGTGCTGTCTTCCTGAGATTCATCCCTGCTCTGCCCTGCCTGGGTGTGATTCATCCTGAAGAGCCTGGGAAACTCTGAATCAGAGTAGCAACAGACATGGGCAAACAAAACCATTTCTCAAATGACACTACCTCCCAGCATGACACTTCAGCTCCCACCCTGTGCCTGTCCTGGGACATGATTCACTTTGAGACAAGGAGAGAAGCAATAATGCAGACTGGAGAATCTTCACAGTAAGGCCAGAAGTCCTGTGACCGTGGTGGTGCCCAAGACTTCCTGGAACCTGGCCCTGAGAGGAGGGCTCAAGCATACATAGTCACTTAATATTTCCCCAGGGTTTGGCTCCAGGACCCCCATGGACATCACTATTTGTGAATGACAAGTCCCTTATATAAAACGTCAGAGAATTTGCATAAAACCTATACAATCCTGCCATGTACCATAAAACACCTCTAGATTACCTTGAATACATAATGCAATGTAAATGTAAAGGCAAATAGATGTTATTCTGAATGGTTGAGAGAATAACCAAAAGGAAATAGTCTATATATGTTCACTATAGACACAAATTTTCCGTGTATATTTATGACTCCATGGTTGGTTGAATTCATAGAGATGGACCCTGCAGACACAGGGAGCTGACTCTAATCTACTTGGGAGGCAACGCTAGAAGGCACTGGTGAAGAGAGGAAAGGAGAATAGATGGAAGCCAAGAAAGTATTAAGGCAGTTCTGTTGCAGGCCTCCAGGGCTCAGTCCTGTAAGTCGGGCAGACTATGCGGAATAAGCACTCCATCATTCCACCTACAGCGAGATCCTGAGGCATTTGCCCACCAACTCCCTGCCCAGCCTCTGGTTCTGGTGTGGAATGAGCATTCTCACACTACTGGAAATGAGCATCAAGGGAGAAAGCCAGAAGCAGGTGCCAGCTGCAAGAAGAACTGGGTTTGCAGATGTGAGTACCTAAAATTTATACCTGCTCTGGAGCATAAAATTCTCCTGGGTGAGATACTATGAATTCTTTAACTCCGCATGACACAGCCTATTGTGTGACAGGATACTAGGAGAGGCCATAGGATCAAGCCACTTACAAGTATGTCACAATAACCTGTCAAGGGGACATTGTTGTCATCATACCCAGCTTCAGAAGTAAATGCTGAGGTTCAGTGAGGTAAAGCATATTACTAATGGTTAAACAGCTAGAGAGTGTCAAAGCGAAAGTAAGCCGGGACCCATGGACTCAGAACCTCTGTTCCCATACTACAGAGTATCATTAGAAATGCAGCTGGCTGAAATGGACCATTTAAGGCCTGGGAAATTCCTGAAGGATAGTCACAGTAAATCTATGGAAAAGTCTTCAGGAGCCTTAAGGCTTCATCTCTCACATCCACCATATATTAGACCTGACCCAACCAGGACTCAGAACTTGGGGCTTGTGTTCCACAGAGGACACAAAGTCCACAGACATCCCAATGGAATTGCCATTTTCAAAATTCTTAATATATATAGAGGCACAGTATTCAAAGCAAAGCAAACATGGCAAATATAAAACATGAAATAAATGACAGCATGCATAAAAAAATAAAATACACAAGTGTATTCTTCACGTAAGTAGGGATGGATAGGTTTCTTTTCTGAAAAGCTTTAAATTATTATAGTATGTTCGATTACTTGAAGAAATTTCATCTATTTTCATTTAGTGTGTGTGTGTGTGTGTGTGTGTGTGTGTGTTTATATGGTAGAGTTAGCTATCCTGCTTTCATTTTCAATTTTTCTTCACTAATTAAACAACTGTCCCCTACGGCTCCCTTGGAGCCACACACACCCTGACTGCCAGCATCACATCACCAGGGCAATTTGTCTTGCTTTATGGGAAATGGATCTTCCACCCCACAGGCTTGGGAAATCCCATGTTCTGCAGCTCTCTTCCTAATCTGGTGGGTCACTGTGGTTCTAAAGAGACATAGCTGGGTTGGGAAGGTGGCTCAGTGGTAGAGTGCTTGCCTTACATGCATGAGGCCCTGGGTTCGATTCCTCGGCACCACATAAGCAAAAAGAAAAAAGCCGGAAGTGGCGCTGTGGCTCAAGGGTAGAGCGCTAGCCTTGAGCTGAAGAGCTGAGGGACAGCGCCCAGGCCCAGAGTTGAGGCCCCACAACTGGACCCAAAAAAAGAAAGAAGAAAAAAAAAGAGACATAGCTGAGCCAGGTACTGGCGGCTCACACCTGTAATCTTAGCTACTCAGGAGGTTCACGGTTCAAAACCAGACCGGGCAGGAAAGTCTGTGAGACTCTTATCTCCAATAATCCACTCAGAAAACCAGAAGTGGTGCTATGGCTCAAGTGGTAGAGCACTCCCCTTGAGCTGAAGAGCTGAGGGATATTGCCCACGTCCAGAGTTCAAGCTCCATGACCCCTACCCCCAACACACACACAAAAAGACATAGCTGGTAGGATCAGCATTGGAAGCTGAGCTTTAACTAGGTGCTTTGAGCAGCCAGACATGGAAGTCAAGTCTAATGAAGGTTGCTATGACATCTTGACATGGCAACGTGCGTATGCTACATATATGAATTAGAACACAGGTAGAGCTCTGCTTGGATCTTGAATATTCTCCAGAAGTCTATGTGCTGAAAGTCTAGTTCCTTCCTACTTATTTCTATTGGGAGGTGGTGAAAACTTTCAGAGGTGAAGCCTAGTAGGAAGATGGGTCATTGGATGACCTTGAATGTGATAATAGATACCACCAGCCCTTCTCGCTCTGTTTCTGTGTCTCTATGTCACCGTGTCACTGTGTCTGTCTGTCCATCCATCCCGCCATTCATCCCTTCTTCCCCTCCCTCTCTCTTCTTTCTTCCCATTTTTTCTCCCTCACTTCCCATGAAGTAAGTAGTCTCCTCTTCCACATGTTCCTACCATGGTGTGCTGCCTTTCTGGAGGCCCACCATCAAGAGGGTCAAGTGACCACAGACTGGAGCCTCTGAAACCATGAAGTTAAATTGTTCATCTCAGGCATTTTGTTACAGTGACCAGAAGTTGAAACAACCTGGTCTCTGCATTTCTTTGCAACTAGAAATGCTATATTCTCCAGGCAGATACTGAAATACTCCAACAGCCCTATGCTCCATGGAAACTTTTATGGAAAGTGATGAAAAAAAAACCCAGCAGTCAATAGAAAGAAAGGTACTAGTCTTTTCTATTGAAGTATCGGAGGTCTGTTTTTCTGCCACTTCCTGTTAGCATCATCCAATTGTGTTTATTCATTTTAAATAAATAGAGTCAGATTACCTACCATTGTGAGATGGAACTAAGTGAATCAACATCTCTGGAGGAGCAGGGAAGTGAGCACAATCTGGTGCTTTTGTCTGCACAGTACACAGACAATGGCTTCCAAATCTTTGGCAGCCAACCCATACCCAGTTAATTGCTGGCTTTTCTCTTAGTTTTCCTTTCCTGATACTCACCTTTTGGCCATTTTACTTCCCACTAAATCTTCAGAGACCAGTGAGTATGAAGTCAGTGACTACTGCTTCTCTGAGTGTTGCTGTCTATACTTGAAATGTTTTGATCAACCAAAATGAAGGAGCTCATACCTGTAATCTTAGTTACTCTGAGATCTGGAGAATGGAGATCAAATCCAGCCCTGGTAGAAAAGTCCATGATACTCTATCTCTAACTAGCAAAAGATAGGACTAGGTTCAAGTGGTAGAGTACAAATTGGGCAATAAAGCCAAGTTAGTGCAAAGTCCGAGTTCAAAACCTGGTAGTAAAATGAAAGAAAAATATACTTTGATTATAATTTATTTCACAATTCACAGAGCATGTATTATTTTTTTCCTCTTGGCAGACAATCAGGAATCAGCTTTTACAATCTCTTACTCTGACTATTCATAAAGATTTGCACTATGCATTCTGTGCTTTACAGAATTTTCCAGTGACAAGAGGGTGAGTGCTCCTTGCTTTTTTCACAAAAACTTCTTGTCTTTGTCTTCTCTCCCCTCTCTACTCAGAGAAGTCACAAAACACAGGCTATTTGCACACAGGATTCTCTGCAAAGCTAGTGAATCTGTATGGAAACCAACCTACCCCATAATGTCTCACCTAATCCACATTAAGTGCCATAAATGTTTATGCCACAGGAGCTTGTGCACATTGGCAGTTCTCCTGTGTTCATGGGTAAACATCCTCACTACCATTTCAGCTGGCATGTGATGCAGCCTTGCAGGGCAGTAGGGGTGGTAGTGTGAATGTAAACCAATTACCGTCTATGCCGGAAATAGCTGCGTGCATGCAGGTGTGATAATGACAGAACAGAAAGGCTTGCTTCCTGTTTCTCTTCTTTGTATCATTTCAGGAAAAGATTTTCACCTCCCCTTCGACCAGTGACACTCATACCTTGAAAAGTCCACTGACTGGCACAGCTACTGTGGAGAACAGTATGGAGGTTCATCAAACAATGAAAAATAAAACTAGTGTATGGTCCAGAAATCCCATTACTGGTATGTATCCGTAGGAAATGAACTCAGTCTCTGGATATAGACATCTGCCCGTCATATGGAGCTGAGGGACAGTGCCTGGGCCCAGAGTTCAAGCCCCACAACCAACAAAAACAAAAACAAAGCCGGGCGCTGGTGGCTCAGGCTTGTAACCCTAGCTACTCAGGAGGCTGAGATCTGAGAATCATGGTTTAAAGCCAGCCCTGGCAGGAAAGCCCGTGAGACTTTTATCTCTGATAAACCACTAGAAAATCAGAAGTGGTGCTATGGCTCAAGTGGTAGAGCGCTTGCCTTGAGCTGAAGAGCACAGGGACAGCACCCCAGCCCAGAGTTCAAGCCCCACGACCAACCAAAAAAAAAACAAACAAAAAACAAAAAAAACAGTAGAATGGTTGTTGCCAGGGGGTGGAACTAGTGAGAAGAAATAGGGTGAGGTTGGTCAAAGGGTACAAAGTTTTGGTTCTGTAAAAATGAAAAAGACACATTGACTATACTAGTGTTTATGATTAACCATACTGTACTGGACTCTTAAAAACTAGCTAGAAGAGTAGGTCTTACCTGAAGTGCTCTTTTCAGAAGTAATTATAACTAATATGGATGACAGTAAGAAACTTTGAAAGTGATGGATGAAAGGATAGGTTGATGGCATAGGTTGTGTTGATGGTCCTAGATAGATAGGCGACTCTCTAAACTCATCTAGTTGAATATGTAATAAACACATACAGCTGTTTGTACATTAGCAATGTCTTGATTAAGGGTGTTGCTTTGTTTTGTGTTGTTGTTTTTTCTCTGAGACCATTGATTGGTGTTTCCTTAAAGTCCAGGTTTTGATATCAGTATGCAGGGAACCACCTTGCAACGAAAGCCAAGAAAGCTTTGGGCATTCATTTAAATAACTTGTCAGCACATAAGGCTGACAGCAAAGTGTACTTTGTATGAAAGCTCAGTTGGGTGTCCAATGTAAAATTGGGACCACCAATGTTGAAAAGGGCATTTACTGTCAGTATTTAGCCAACATTTCCCCACCTATCTCTAGCAGACAAGTGTCCACAGATTGCATATTAAATGAAAGTAGTGTATGATCTTCAAATATTTCCTGGAATCATTAGCTAAAGTCTGTTTTTTGACCCCTGCTGAGATTCTTCACATGCTAATTTTTTTCCTTATAGTAATGGTCTCCAGGGTTGTCTAGAAACCTATGCTTCCTTGTATTTATATAACTTTGAGCAGAAACTCAGTCTCTGAAGAAGTTTGGTATAGAGTAGATCATCCAGTCTCTCCATCACGAGAAAGAGCTGTGCACCATGGTGCCCAGGGGAAGATAAGCTTATTTCTTTCCAAGCCAGGTGGTCAACAATTTAATGCCTTGCAATTTCCCAATCTCATTCATAATTTTATAATGGATTAAAAGAAGGAATAGACAAGTTTGACTTTCAGACCTGGATAAGTCTTATGTAAAAACAAACAAGAACATTACAGATAAAATTCCACACTCCTAAGAAAGGGTAAGCTAGTAATGAGACACTGCCTGACGTGAACTGTGATAGTGGTACTCTATATATACTATAAAACTCATTATCACAATAAAAAAACTCATTAGTAGAGCCACTAAAGTAGGAACTAGATTGAAGAAATCAAAAGTACTAAGAGTTTTTAATATAATGGGGTGAGGTGTAGTTAGAAACAGAATTACACAGATACAAATACTATCAATAGGTATGCACACTTATCTCTATACTCATCTAGTTGAATATATAATAAACATAAAAGTATGAAAGCAAACAGATGTCCCTCTGTGTATGAACTCTAGAGAGGTACTTTGATTTAGTGTCAAGATAAAATGTATGGTGCAGAAAAAGCCCTTTCTTTAAGTTGGATCTGATAAAGTAACAAACTGTTTCTTAGCATTGAGCTATGAGATTTTTTTAATGAGAATTCCCTCAGTGTCACCTTCCCAGAGCCAGCATGGATGAATTTGGTGCCCATTTTACAGATGAGGAAACAGATGATGACAGGGCTAGTGTCTTGTTCAAGATTACAAACCTGGAATCCAGTACACTCCAAACCCCCATGCATTCTATATCAGAAAACTGCATGCTTTTAAGATTGAAAAAAGAATGAAATATTTAGGAATAAATTTAAGTAGAGAAAAGAAACACTGCTGTACTGAAAACTACAAGACACCATTAGAAGACACGTCAGGAGATCTAAATAAATGGAGTGATATCTATGTTCATGAACTGGAAAACCTCTCTCATTAGGATAGCTTTACCTCTTGGATTGATCTATAGATTCAGTGAGAACCCCGTCAACATTCCAGTTTGCTTGCTGGCAGAAAACTCTCAAGTGTAGCCTAAAATTCATATACAGCATCAAGGTATAGAATATTCCTTTTTCTTCTTCT